GAATACTTCCCACAAGTTTAAAGGCTGAAATGGTTATATGATTATGTATATTATTATAGGTGTAGAGTTTTATATAGCCCAGGAATCCTTAAAGATAATCTGTACACATTCTTGGTTGGATGAGCAGAACTTTAAATAAACGGTAAGAAATATTAGGTGGCTAATATTTATTGGGCACTTATTATATGCCAAGCATTATGCCTAAGATTATTACATAGATTATTTTATTTAATCCTTATCACAATCTTCTGTGGTAGATACTGGTATTGCCCCAACTTTACAAAAAAGGGCAGAGAGATTAGGTAACTTGCATAAAGTTACACAGTAAATAAATGCCAGAGCTAGAAATCAAATCTAGATTGGCCTGGCTCAAGATCCCATGTTTTTAACCATTGCAGTGAATTGCTATGCTGCTTCCATCTATAGAGTCAGTATGTAGCAATAGTAATATAATCATTAATATGTTACCTTTCATATATATTGAATGTTTTCTAGAGAAGTAGTTTGCTATCGGAAATATCATTCTCATATCCAATTTATAGCAGGAGTGACAGTAATATCAAGAGATTATGTGATCAGCATGGGGTGAATCAACAGAACCAAGAGTTTCTGATCCACAATTACCTTCACTTGCTAGGTTCATACAAGCATCATATGGTGTTTACCTATGTTTCTCTTAGATTTTTCATTATAGCATGATGAAGTTATAAATGTTTGCCTCAGACTATGATGCTATCTAAACAAGACATGGAAGATGGATCATTAGTGTGGATTTTTGGACAATAGAGCCTTATCGGTTGGTACATGTTAGAAAACTTTTTTTTTTTTTTAGTTGGAGTCTCACTCTGTCTCCCAGGCTGCAGTGCAGTGGCACACTCACAGCTACTGCAGCTTTAACCTGAAGGGCTTAGGTGATCCTTCTGCCTCAGCCTTCCAAGTAGCTGAAACCACAGGTGCATGCCACCAAGCCTGGCTGATTTTTTTTTTTATTTATTGTCATGATGAGGTCTCACCAAGTTGTCTTGAACTGCTGGGCTCAGGCAATCCTCTTGCCTCCCCCTTCCAAAGTGCTGGGCCCATGTTAGAAAACTTGATCCCGATTTTGTTGTACAAGTCACAGTGAAGCTGAAAAGGAAAAGCCAGTCTTAAATGCTTTTCCTCTGCCAAAAGGGCAGCTAAAGCGCCCAGATATCTTTGCCCTCCAGGGATGCAGGTGTGCTGTTTTTATTCTTTAATCATTCACATAAATTAAAGCCTATTCCTTTACATTTAAAAAATAATATAAAACGACACTCTCCATGTTTTATTGCCAGACAAGAGCTTTGAACTTCTGTCTCATTGAAGTTTGATAAACTGTGAGGGTTTTCCAGGGTTGGGTGGTACACTTAACCACACAGGGAACATTGGACTGATAAGAGCTGCAGGTGAAGGAAACCACCAAGGAGCAGCAATTAGAGAGAGCTTCAACTTGGCTGTTGGCTAGTGTTAAATTCTCACAGGGAGGAACTTTTCCCTGCCTCTGCCAGCTTCTTCACCCACAGATAAACAGCACCAGGACTTTCTATTTCCACTTTGTGAACTAGGAATGGGTGGGGTAGTTCTTTGTAAAAATCTTTGAAATTTGGAACAAGTTCTAACTTCACACGAATGCTGATTGGTATGCAGGTGGGGACAGGACAGACACACACACACACACACACACACACACACACACACACACACACACACACACACACACACACACACAAATTCTCATGCACACAGATGGACGACATCTCTCAGGTGATTTTACTGCCAGCATACATTCATGCTTTTATATTCTGTGTAAAGTAAAGATAATTTTTACTTCCATAAATGATTATAAAGTGTTGGTGAGGAGACAATGTGTTAAGACATTGATTCTTGGTGTCAAACAAACCTTGGCTCAATTTTGACTTCTCTTCCTACTAGCTCTAAAATCTTGAGCAAATTAATTATATGAGTCTCAGTTCTCCCATTTGTAAAAATAAAAGTGTAAGAATAACTATCATAGGATTGTTGTGAGGACTAAATAAAATAATGCATGTTAAATAAGTCGCATGGTATAGCATCTGGCCGATTGTTTAATAAATTGCACAAGTGCTCAAAAAGAGTGGCTGTTATTATTTGTAACTGTCAGATTGGCAGACAAATGTTAAACATGAAGGTCCTATATTTTTCTTTCTTTTCTTTTTTATATTTTTGATGCAAAGTCTGTTTGCCAGAAAATTTCTCCTTTTTTTTCTTGGAGGTCAAAAGTATTTGATTCTTACTGCTTTGAAACACATTTCTCCTGTAAAGGGCTTTCACATTAACTTTTAGTCCCTGGAGCTAGGGAGGAGAAGCAGCAGGATTTGCTTCTAAGTAGAGTTCTTTCATTTCTACCATCAAAAAGAAAAAAATCCTGTACTAGTCTTAGGTAGCGCTAAGTCATAAAAGGCCATATAGCCCAAGGAAGAAATCTTTTTGTAAGATCAGGATAAGCCGGTAGAAGAAAGGAAGGAGAATACAGAGGTGAAAATATAGAAGATTTTAATGTTAGCCTGGTCATTTTAGCCTCTCTATTTAATATATACTTAGTTATAATGACAATATTTTGAAAGTGATTAATGCCAGAAATTGGCATGTATTTTCTCACAGCTTCACTTTCCATTTTGGCCTTTTCTTTAAAAAAGAGTTTTCTAGCTGGATGAACTACTGAGTTGATGAAGCACTGATTTTGTTTTCCTGTCTTTTTTGGGGGAGGTGAGGGTTTACACTGGTTGATAGTTGCTAGCTTTGGGAAGCACTCATTTCAATAAGAATAAGTCATGGAATGTAAACATGTCATCCATCTGGACATAATACTGTTGGGAATGCGGTGAAACTTTGGTCACCATGGTCACTGTAGTCAAATGAAGACTCTCTTGAGTTCAGGTTGATAGAAAAACTTACTTGTTTTTTGAGTTTCGCTAGACTACCAGGACTTCAGGAATAGTTTTTTGAGCCAGGGTCTTACTCTGTCACTCAAGCTGAGTGCAGCAGAACGATCCTAGCTCACTGCAACCTCGAATTCCTGGGCTCAGGTGCTTCTCTGCCTCAGTTTTCTGATTAGCTGGGACTACAGGTGCTACCACCATGCCCAACTAATTTTTAAATATTTTTGAAGAGACAAGGTCTTGCTATGTTGCCCAAGCTGGACTCGAATTCCTGGCCTCAAGCAATCCTCTCACCTAGGCCTCCCAAACTGTTGGGATTATAAGTATGAGCCACCACACTTGACCAGGAATAATTTTTTGAACCACCCATTTTTTTTTTTTTAATTGAAGTCTCACTGCCCAGGCTGGAGGGCAGTGGTATGCTCCCGTCATCTCAGCCTTGACCTGCTGGGCTCCGGCGATCCTTCCGCCTCAGCCTTCCAAGTAGCCGGAACTACAGGTGTGCGCTACTATGCCCGGCTAATTTTTGATTTATTGAGAGATGAGGTCTCGCCAAGTTGCCCAGATGGGTCTTGAACCCACGGGCTCAGGCAATCCACTCACCTCAGCCTCCCAAAGTGCTGGGATTATAGACTGAGCCACCGAGCCCAGCCTTGAACCACCTATTTTTATAAATTTTAGGTAATTCCTCCATATTTTTTTTTGAGGAATGAAACTGTGAAAGAGGTCCAAGTCTACCTTGGCAGCAACTTTGTGGAAGTGCTTTTTGGCAAGATATTCATTACTTTGGAGTTTTTTGTCCTCACTGCTCCAGAAGGAAGTATTTTTCTGAATTTTTTGGTAAACTTCAGAGTACATAAGAAACACCAAAGGTACTTGTAAAAATTACTGGACTCTAGTAAGAAAGTTAGGTTCACTAAGTCTGGAATAGTGCCCAACCATAAATTTGTATTTTAAACGGCATCCCAGGCAATTCAGATCAAGAAGTTGATTGATCATACTCTGAGAAACAGAGTTAAATTATATTGCTTTACACACTTGATAAAGAAGAAAGCAAGTGCAGATTAAGTAACTATCTAAGATTAAGCTCCAAAGACAGAGTCATGGCCAGGCATGGTGGCTCACGCTTGTAATCTCAGCATTTAGGGAGGCTGAAGCAAGAGAACTGCTTGACCCCAGGAGTTCGAGTCCAGCTTGAGCAACACAGCAAGATCTTGTCTCTTCAAAAAAATTTAAGAATTAGCTGGGCATGGTGGTAGCACCTGTAGTCCCTGCTACTTGGGAGGCTGAGGCAGGGTCACCTGAACCCAGGAGGTCGAGGTTGCAGTAAGCAGTGATTAAGCTACTGAACTACAGCCTGGGTGACAGAATGAGACCCCAAGTAAAAATAAAATTAAAAACTTTAAAAAAAGAGCCATGATTCAAATTCAAACCCAGGTCTGTCTGACTCTAATACTCACCCTTTTTATTACAAGCCCATGATTCGTATATTTCCCCATCACAACAAATGCAGAACACGTCAATAAACTGAGCCACACAGATTTCATGGTCTTGTTATTTACAAAGGTTGACAACTTACATATGCACCAGTACTAAAATTTTCATGGTCCTTAAACTTTTCCAGTGACTTTAAAAAAGAATTAAATGGAGTTTTCTTTACGATCAGACAATCCATGCTTCAGGCATGGAATTGCTAGTTCCCTGGGATAAGTTTCTGAGATATGAGAACTGGAAGGAGTTGGAAGGTCATGGAAAGAAAAGAACTTCCAAGTGTATCTGCTAAATGGTGCTAAGTCTCCTCTCCAATCTACCCTTGTCACTGAAATGAAGAATGAAGGCTTGATGCTCACACTAGCAGCCAACCAGTCAGATGGCAGTGGGCCATGTTCTATACCATCTCCCATTCTACCTCTGAGACCATAGCTCCTTGGGGCCAACAAGTTTGCTTTGCCTGTTTTAGTTCACTCAGTTGGGCAGAGCCAGCACCTTGATTGACTTACATGGCCTCCTACTGGGAGAACTTTTCTTTTTTTTATTTCTCTGTTTCTTTCTTTCTGTTTGTAGCTCAGCGACATGTCCTTACCTACATGGAGGATGCCGTGTACCAGCTGCTGGAGAACAGGGAGGATATTAGCCAATATGGCATTGCCAGGTTCTTCGCTGAATAGTAAGTACATGAATGCTTTACTAATAGGGCAGACCCAGTGGAGGCGCTTGGAAGCAGCAGTGTACATGAAGAACAGAACAGGACAATGCTGAGTTCATAGTGGCAAAGAGTGCTTAGTTTTAGAGGGTGACTTCGGTGCAGCTGGTTTTGTCTAGTGATATGTCTCGTGAATGACCATGACTACAGTAGTTTAACAATTGTGTGTTAGATCTCTTTCTTTGGGTCTCCCTTATAATATTTAACTTTATCTTTTATTCCAAATATTCACTCTGATTTCCTGAAGTTGGTGATCGCTTAGCCTGTGTGTTTGTCTCATGGAATTGTTTAGTATGATGTTTTTCTGCAGTTTTCCTTCTATAGGCTGTTGTGTCAGTCACTTAATGATTTAAGAGTATTTATAGGGGGAGGTATCTTTCATAGATTGTATTTTTGAAAGATCATGCCTTTTTATAAAGTATGTTTGGGGTATGTAAAAGTCAAAATGATTACTACTTTTTGAAGAACTGTTTTTAGGCTGAATGAAATAATCACTTTAAAACACATTAACTTTCATAAAAGGATGTCCTAAAGAAATGTAAAACATCGTTTTTATTACCAGTATGCCATCACATATTTATATAATCATTTGGATTCTCTTTCCCTTTTTTCCTGGTTTATTAGGAACATTCTAAGAAAGGAAGAGAAATCTCTTACAGGCTTCCATCTAAGTGAATCATGAATGCAAGTCCATCTTCCTTGAACATAGATTTATTTTCCTTTCTGTTTTCCAGAGGCTCCTAGGAGGTCAGATCGCTATTCTAATGCCCTAAACTTGTGTTCTTGGTAGAGGAATACCTGACTCTCCCTAGCTCTTTTGCTGAACTAGAGTTCTTATAAATAAAATCTAGATTTTTTTTTTATGGATGGGGAATTTTAAGTTCCTTGGAAAAACAAACTTTCTGGGAGGAGACTTGGTCCTTTCTCCCATTCTTATAAAGGAGAATGAAGGGGAGAAAGGAATCTTACTTGTTCTCATGGTATGGGCTGAAGCAAATGAGGTGGACTGAGAATAAAGACTGAGATTGAATAGCTGTGCTTGCTTTTACAGAACTGACAAGACTGGGGGTCAAGTTTCTAGGCCATTTAACCTGTACCAGCACTCTGGAGGCTCCTTGCCAAGTGAAATATGACTCTTCTGGGCGTAAAGCTTCTTCCTGGCTCTTTTCATTTTACTACCCATTCCCCTTCCACCAAATCTCCTTTATATGTCTTTTCCCTGCTCTACAGATTCCTTGAAGGTAGAAATCATTTCTTCATCTTTGTATTTCTAGTACTTGGCATGATGTTTCACATATCATATATGTTAGGTAAATATTTGTTGAATCTACAGCTGTATCTATGTTTTAAGTTATTGCATGCTATCTATTTCTATTGTTTATTTTTGAGTTGAAGTCTCACTCTGTCACCCAGGCCAGAGGGCAGTGGTACAATCATGTGTCATCACAGCCTCAACCTCCTGGGCTCAGGCAATCCTCCTGCCTCAGCCTCCCAAGTAGCTGAGACTAAAACACATTTCATCATGTCCAATTGGTTTGTTTTTTTTTTTTTTTTGGGCAGGTCTCACTATGTTGCCCGGGTTGGTCTTGAACTCCTGGGCTCAAGCAGTCCTCCCACATCAGCCTCCAAAAGTGTTAGAATTACAAGCATGAGCCACCACACCCAGCTGTTATCTACTCTTATTCTTGATCTTGTTATAATGAGGATGATTTTTCCCCCCCACTCTTCATTGACTCTTTCTGGTAAAGCTCTATATTCTGCCATTTAAGAAGCAGTATACCATGCGTCTAGCACTCCAAAAATGAACCCCACTGGTCTATGTAACTGATACTGAACTCTAGTGAACCAGTAGAAAGCCTTATAACTGTTTCAGAATGCTGTTCCAATATACTGTTGAAAAAAATCTTAAGATTTTTTCCATGGTGTTGGTAGAAATCTGGTCCAAGTGAGCTGTTTCTTGGCCCCAGGAAACTAAAAATTACATAATGGATGTGAGTGGCACATACCTGATAGTTCTATATCTCTAAGACACCAGATTGGCCTGAGTTAAATTGTTATCTCTATTTTGTAGATGAGAAAATTTAGGCAAGGTGGGGTAAAATAGGCCAGGCACTGTGGCCCATGCCTATAATCCCAGCACTTTGGGAGGCCAAGATGAGAGGATTGCTTGACCCAGAAGTTCGAGACCAGCCCGGTCAATTTGGCAAGACCTCATCTCTATAATAAGTCAAGAAAATTTAGCCGGGCATAGTGGCACATGCCTATAGTTCCAGCTGCTTGGAAGGCCGAGGCAGAAGGTTTGTCTAAGCCTGGCACATTGAGGCTGTGGTGACCCTGAACATGCCACTGCACTCTAGCCTGCATGACAGAATGAGACTCTGACTCAAAAAAAAAAAAAAAAGGAAAAAAAGAAAGGTTAAAATAGCTCTTCAAGTTCATAAGCCAAGTGACAGGGTTAGGAATCAAGCCTCATTTTAAGTATTATAAAGGCCACTGTTCTCTACTGCCTCCAAGTCACTTTATTGACTGATGTTGCAAGAGGCCTTGCCAGATAATATTTTGAGGTCTCTTCTAGCTATAATTTCTACAATTTTTGGTTTTTCGCTTCTGAACTATACTCCACAAAGTTATCATATAGCCTTGTCTATGTGACCTAAGTTCATTGCCATTTAAATGTTAAGTAATGGCTTTTTGGGGGATACAATTGGAGCTCGCTCTAAATAGAAGGAAGCATGATTTTTTTTTTTTTTTTTTTTTGAGTTGGAGTCTCACTTTGTTGCCCAGACTGGAGTACAGTGACATACTTGTGCCCAGCTAATTTTTTAAATTTATTGTAGTGTCGAGATCTCACCAAGTTCTTGAACCTGCAAGCTCTGGCAATTCTCTCGCCTCGGCCTCCCAAAGTGCTGGGATTACAGGCTTGAGTCACTGTGCCTGGCCAGGAAGCATGATTTTAAAAAAATATGTTAACTGGCCAGGCAGTGGTGGTTCACTCCTGGAATTCCAGCACTTTGGGAGACTGAGGCAGGAGGCAGGGGCATTGCTTGAGGCAAGGAATTTGAGACCAGTCTGGGCAACATAGACTTCATTTTTACATAAATAAATGAATCAGGTGTGGTGGCATGCACCTATAGGCCCACCTACTCAGGAGGCTGAGTCAGGAGGATCCCTTGAGCCTAAGGAGCTTGAGGCTGCAGTGAGGTATGATCATACCACTGCACTCCAGCCAATGTTAAGTTAACTACACATTTCCATCTTACAGTTTCAAGTTCACAATTTGAGATTTTCAAGCCGGGCTCGGTGGCTCAGCCTGTAATCCCAGCACTTTGGGAGCTGAGGTGAGTGGATTGCCTGAGCCCGTGGGTTCGAGACCCACCTGGGCAACTTGGTGAGACCTCATCTCTACAATAAATCAAAAAATTAGCTGGGCGTGATAGCGTGTGCCTGTAGTTCCAGCTACTTGAAGGCGGAGGCGGAAGGATCGCCGGAGCCCAGCAGGTCGAGGCTGTGGTGGCTGGGAGCAGCCACTGCCCTCCAGTCTGGGTGACAGAGTGAGACTCCAACTCAAAAAAAAAAAAGAGATTTTCATACATTTAATGATGAACGATTTACCTTAAACTAATGAGAAAAGTATTCTTTGAGATTTTGGGGGGAAGGCTTCTCTTATGATTTTCTTCTCTGTGTTTGCTTGCCCTCTTAACTGTGCTGTCATCCTTTGGTTGTTGGTGTTTTCAAACAAGTCCATAATTGTTCCAGCAAATCTGGATGAACTGTAAAACACAAGTGGCTGAGCTGTACTGTGTGTATGTATGCAAGACACCGTGAGCTCTATAGATCATATTTCTCTGGACACTCTTGAAAGAAGGATACTAAATCCCAGAGGATTTTCTTTTATGTTGTATGCAGCGTCTGCCTCTCAGTGTTGTCCTTCAACCGGTAGATGGTAAAAGAAATTAATGTTTAGAGGTGCTACTCTAAGAATAGACCAAGTGTCAGCACCGGGTCAGGGCCTCTGAAGAAGTACATCCAAGAAAATGAGGCTAGAGTAGCTGTAACTTAGAAACCGCAGTAGTGTGTTTCCAGATTCTTGTGGTAAAGATAAAATGAAAAATGTGGCTTTTTAAGACATTGGAAAATAATGATGAGAGAAAAACAGGCTGAAATCTGAGAATTCCTATCAGAATTGGGAACCATTCTTCACAGGCAAAATTGATAGTTACAACACTGTGGCATCAGGGAGCTTGACTTCCACATACTAATATAGAAAAGAATAATAGTTTGTGGTTTTGGTTGGTGGGCCCATGAGGGCTCTTTCTTGTGACCAAGTGTCTTGTTGGTTTTTTTTTTAATCCCTATTTTAGTTTCTTGGAGTTTTTCTGATGACTGTTTTGGTTGCAAGGAAAAGAAGTACACAGATTACCTTCATTGATGGGGGTTTATATTAAGGAAACATGAGAACTTAAGGCAGCATCCGTTTATGAATTCATTCATTCAACCACTTTTTAAATTTCCTCTCTCTAATATCAGTAATTATTTCTGAGCACCTACTCTGTGCCTATATGTACTAGGCAATGGGAATATAGCAGTAAACAAGACAAAGGAGGTACTTACCCTCATGGACCTCGTGTTTCCATGTGGGAGATAGTCAATAAACAAGCACACTGATGAGGAGGAGGATAGCTAATAGTTAATAAACACTTGTCATGTGCTAGGCACTGTTCTAAGCATATAATATGTATTATTTAATCCTCACAGTACTCTGAGGCAGGATATTAGTATTATGTTCTTTTTACTCATTGGAAAATTCAGGTACATAACATAAAAGTAACATTCTGGTTTTTTTTTTTTTAAATCAATATTTTTTATTATGATATTGTGGGTACAGTTAAGGGTTAGGTATATAAATATGCTTTGTTCAGGCACCCTTGCTGATAAGAGGTGTCTCCCCATTCCGAGACAGATAT